TCATATGGGCTAAAGATAAAATAGTCAACATCTACACTGATTCCAAATATTCCTTTCTGATCGCACATTCCCACTGTATGATCTGGAAGGAACGAGGCTTCCTCACCACCAAAGGCACCCCGGTCCTAAATGGAAAACTCATTGAAAAACTCATCCGAGCCATCCAGCTCCCCCTGCAGGTAGCTGTTATTCACTGCCGGGGCCACCAGACTTCGAACTCTCCTGTAGCTAAGGGAAATGCTTTCCCTGATTAAATGGCCCGATCCACCGCTCGCCTGGGGCGGGTTCCTGCTATCTGTTTTCTTTCAGGCTCCTATACTCCCCAATACTCAGCCACAGAATTAAAGTCTCTCCAGTCTTCTCCCGGGGTCCACTCTAAGGATGGATGGGCCTTTCAAGACGACCTCCTAATTCTTCCAGACGCCCAGACTACAAATACTGTTGGAGATCCACAAGTCTCTCCACATAGGCCCCGACGCCCTTCACCGATTCTTATCTCCAATTCTCCACCCTGACAAACTCCAGCCAGCTATCCAGGCTGCACATGCCTCATGTTCTGTCTGTTCCAGGTCCAACAGCCAAGGAGCTGGCCATGTGCGCAGGCCCCTACACCAAATGCGGGGTCACCTGCCAGGACAAGACTGGCAGATAGACTTCACTCATATGCCTAAACACAAACAACTAACCATGGTTGATACTTTTTCAGGTTGGATGGAGGCCCTCCCAACCGCCTCCCAACGGGCCAGCTTTAAACAACATGCGGCCCATCACCCCCAGTCCTCGGGTAAGGTTGAGCGGGCCAACGGCCTCATCAAGGAACATCTAACCAAACTCAACCTGGAACTCCAACAGTCCTGGCCTGACCTGCTACCCCTGGCCCTTACCCATCTTCGAGCCATGCCTTGGGAACCCTCTCACCTCAGTCCTTTTGAACTTCTATACGGAAGACCCTTCTTCCTTCCTACTTCATCTATAGACTGCCCACCCCCTCTGGCCTCCTACCTGCCCTACCTCTCCCTCCTTCGTTCCCTCCTCCGAGAACACGCTAACTGTACCTAGACCTGACCTGGGATCGGAGCTCTCCCAACCCATTTCACCCGGAGACCGGGAACTAATCAAGACCCTCTCTCCCCGACCCCTACACCCTAAATGGGAGGGACCGGGAGGGACCGTACACCGTGGTTCTGACTACTCCCTCTGCAGTTGAGGTGTTGGGGATCTCTGCCTGGATCCATCTCTCTAGAATAAAGAAAGCCCCGATTCCAGAAGAGCAACCAGTCCTGGAGCCTCGCTTCACCTGCACTCCATTAGGGCCGACGAAAATCAAAATATACAAGATGCCCTAATTGGATCATCCACGATAAGTCATTATGATTCTGCTATACATCTTTCTGACTCTGGACCTCGCCCCGGGTTGCCCACTCATTCTTGCCGCCTTCTCTCCTTCGCTTCTGGAATCCTCCCATCTGTTCCGTAGCCTGAATTTGACCCAACGCCTCCTCTATAAGGCCAACTCCACATTTGCGCCTGACTGTTGGGTATGCCTATCCCTGTTGTCCTCAGCCTACTCTGCCACATGTGTGGGTCCACCACCTATATGTGTCTCCCCACTAACTGGACTGGCACCTGCACCTTGGTATATCTCACCCCCAACATCAATACAGTCCCCCAGGACGCCTCCCAGCCTGTTCCCGACATCACCCTGATTAATACAAGCAGACACAAACGGGCTATACAGCTGGTACCCCTCCTCACTGCCCTAAGCATTACAGGAGCTTTGGGACTCAGGGCACGTGGGTTAGGAACCTATCATATTTCCACATCCTATCTGAAGACCTACAAAATTCTTTAGAAGAAATAGCCTCCACCCTTCTCAGCATCCAAGATCAAATAGACTCCTTAGCAGCAGTCACCCTTCAAAATCGAAGGGGCCTACCTGGCCGGTTTGGCTCAGCAGTTAGAGCATCGGCCTGCAGTCCAGAGAGACCCGGGTTCGGTTCCTGCTAAAGGCATGTACCTCGGTTGCAGTTTGTCCCCCGCCCTGATTGGGTCGTGTGGGTGGCAGCCACTCTATGTGTCCCTTTCACATCAGTGTTTCTCTCTCTCTCTCTTCCTCCCACTCTATCTGAACAAAAAATGAAAAAATGTCCTCAGGTGAGGATAAAAATAAAAAAAATCGAAGGGGCCTAGATATCCTCACTGCAAAAAAGGGAGGTATATGTGTTTTCCTAGAAGAGCAATGCTGCTTCTATCTTAACCAGTCAGGCCTCGTCCGAACTGCTGCCAATAACTTAAAAGAAAGAGCACAACGCATTCAGGAAAGGCGAGATCAATCTTGGAGCACCTGGTTCAATTCCAACTGGGCACACTGGATTTTGCCGCTTATGGGTCCCCTAACTCTCCTTTTTCTAGCCCTAGCCTTCGGACCCTGTCTCCTGCGACTGTTCTCCTCCCTACTACAAAACCGACTGAAGGCCTTCACCAGCCAGACGGTGCACGAGATCATGATGCTAAGCCATTATCAACCTCTCACCAGATCCTCAGGCCTGGATCATGCTGACATGGGCCCCCTCCCCTAACTCCGCCCCTGTCCAGCATGAAGTAGCCAGAAAGATACCTGTGCCCCTTTGTCATTATCACAGAGTCGGGAATGTCCGATGGCCTGGGGACTGGTGCCAGGCAAAGTGCTCGACCATTGTCTCGCTTGCTCAGCCTGGCCTCCCACCCTGACCGGCCTGCCTCGAGCTTGTAGATTAACTCCCATCTTGCTCTTATCGATTCACATTCCAGAGGCTCCATGCATAGCCCCCGCAGGGCCAAACCCTAAGGGACAAATTCCAGCTGCAACAGGCAGACATAAAAGACACAAGCCCCTACATTGAGCAAGGCTTCTAGGACTCGACCCCCAGAGTCTGTGAACCGGCCCGGAGTGTACCCAATAAAGCCTGATCCCTGTTTATTCGGCTGATTGGCTCTCCAGTCCCTTCTCTGTTTTATTCGGCGGCGCCCCTGATTCCTTACACCACGCACAGCAGGAGTAAATATTTCAGGCTCTGTGGGCCTGATGATCTCGCTGAAGGATGCTCAGCTCTGCCCTTGTAGCGTAGGCAACACGCAAACAAGTGGCTGTGGCTGTGTTCAATAAAACTTTATTTACAACAATAGGTGGCCAGCAGATTGGACCCTCGGGCTGTCATTTGCCAACCCTTGTCCAATAGCCTTGTTTACTGCCCAATACACTGAACGTACTCCTGCCTCATTTCTGCAATCTTTTGTTACATAAACTCAAGTGCAAATCTCTAGGGACTAGGCTGGAGCGGAGCCCTGGAGAGACTCTGGGCCCTTTACTCTCAAATCCCACCTCGCCCCATAGCAAGGCCACGCCCACCCAGGCCCGCCCAGCCTCGGGGCTGTGTTACTCTGTTACTCGCAAGTGAAGGTGGGGCTCCGGGGGAGGCGAATTTAACCCCCACCGTAGGTCTGCTAAGTAAGACGCCGACCTCACAGACCAGCAAGGCTGCTTGCTATGCTCCACTCAGGAGGGGAAAAAAACAAAATCACTGTCCCGTCTTAGTTCTCCAGACCATAACCTGCTTTCCTACCCTTCAGAAATGCTTACATCTCTATATTTATGTATTTAGATGTCAAGAGAAGGAAGAAAGTGAAAAACAAATTGATCGTATTATTTACAATGAAAGTGAAGAAAAATTGTGCTGACATGTTCATAACCCCGTAATTGATGATTGGTAAATTATTGTGCTGACTTGTTTATAGCTCCATAATTGATGATTGGGAAAGTCACTGTGCGCCCTCTAGCTGAACCTGTTTTTGTGTTGGTGGTGGTGGTGGTTTGTTTGTTTTGGTACATGTCCCTAGCAGGAACCAAACCCAGGACTGTCTGGTCCAAAGGCCAACGTTCCAACTGTTGAGCCAAACCGGCCAGGGCTGCTGAACCTGTTATGTAAAGACCTCCTGAACCAAGAAATTGTTGGGAGTCAGCTACATGTCTGACAGAGTCCACGGAGCCTGGAGGTCTTGAGTCAGAGATTCGACCTCCCCGACAATCTCAAGAAATTAGGCTTGCATTGTGTTTGTGCAGCTCGGGGCTAAGTGTGACCCAAGGTACCTTGAAATACCTGAGATAACAGACTGGGTGTTCCTGGGTGTTCCTGTTATCCACAAGGCAAACTAATTCTATACAGCATTGTTGTAGCCCTGGGCATTATGTCAAGAAGATCCTATATTCTTATATCATTAAACTTTTGCTGTAAGGTATAAAAGGCATGTAATGAAGCATATCGAGGCTGATCTCCAAAGACTCTGTCACAGGGGTGTTCAGAAATCAGACTCCGGCCGGCTAATAAACAGCTCTTATTTGGACTTCAATTCTCTAATGGTCTTTCTTTGACTCTGTCAAGCCACAACAAAGTAATAGGTGTGTATGTGCAGAGAGAGAACCAACACTAATTACTGCAGGGACGGGAGGGAGGGACAAAGAGAGAGAGAAAGAAGAAAGAGATGGAAAGGAAAGGAAGGGGGTTAGGGACACATCTTGTTCCACCTTTCATGTAGTTTTGTCAATCCCACAGGTCAAGGCTGTAGATGCTTAAAGACCATCTCAGTAGACAAAAAGATTCGAAGTATATGAGAGTTACTTTCACTTCACATTGAATACAGAGCAGAACATAATTCGATTCCGTCCTAGTGGGACCCTGTTTCCACCTCATTGACCAGCTCTCGAGGAATTCCCCGAGTATCCACACAGGGAAGGGCCTTTCACGGCACCCGTGTGTTTAAACAAAGAGAGACCGCCTCCTTTTGGTTTTAAAGTTTTTGTCGTGATTGTTTTTGTTTAACCAGTGTTCACTGACTTGAGGACACCAGGGTGAGGATGGTGGGGAGAGGAGGAGCTGCAGGGCAGTGGGGACCCTGGGGGAGTGCACTGTCATCCCCACAGACCCTGGGCTACATGTGAGGGTGCAGGCAGGGTCTCTGGCCACTCACAGGACCATGGCAGTCAGGGTCTTCTCCCTGGAGGGGGAGGGAGGCTCTGAATTCTCCCCCAGTAGCTTCTTCTCGGTCTCTTCCTCACCCTAAAACAGACAGAGCTAAAAATCAACTCAGGGAGAAAAGGGTGGAGCAGAGGCAGCTTCACAGAACGTGGGATCAGGAAAAGGAAGGAGAGGCAGGGAAACAGGAAGGGTGCTGGACAAAGATCCAGGGCACGAAGAAAGGGACAGAGGTAGAATGAGAGTCAAGAGGGCAGAAGTTAGCTCGAGTCACAGGGACATCCAGGGACAGAGCACCCCCTGGAGGGAGCTGAGGAAGGTCAAGCGTGACCTCTGAGAAGCAGTGCTCCTGGTCCCATGTCCCTCCCGGTCCCCAGGGTCTCACCAACCAGACCCACTCTGCCCCAGAGCCTCCCTGACAGCTCACCATGGGCTGAGAGCTCCAGCCACACAAGCTTCGAAGGCCCAGGCCCAGGGAAGCCAAGGACACAATGACCTGTAGGGCACAGACAGCCAGGAGCAGAACACGGATTCCTAGGAACAAGTTCTGGAGATAAAGGAAGAAAAAAGATGAGTCAGGAGTCAGCTCTGACTCTGCTCTGAGTACCACCCTATCACCCCCCGCCTCCCGGGATCAGGCTGCCCACCTGAGAACTTCCCACCCAAGCAGATCCCACCCAGTCTGCTTGTCTCACTGTGACCTACCACCTGTGGTGAAGAGATGGGGTCTATTTCTCCACCCCCTAGAATCTGGAAGGACCTGTGCATGTGCTGACCAATAACATAAGATGGAAACAACGCTATGCCAATTACAGGGCAGCCCTTGGCCGGCCTGGCAGCTTCCATTCCTACCTTTCGGAGTGCTCACAGTAGGATGTTTGCTCGGAACCTAGTTGTGGTGCTACAAGCCCAAGCACAAGGGGGAGCCATTGCAGGCTCTCTGCCTGACAGTCGCAGCTGAGTGTCAGCCATGGGGGTGCGCCAACCTGGATGTCCAGCCCAGTCCTGCCATCGGATAACTTCACCTCACAACTGACATCTAACTGTGACTTCATGAGAAAACCCACGTGAGCACCGCCCATCTGAGCCCACCCAGCCCGCAGACTGTGAGAAGTAGTAATAGACTGCAGAGTTAATCCACTGCATTTGAGAGAGGGGTCATGCAGCAACGGTCCCTGGGGCACCCACCCACTAGAAGAGACAGACGAGTGGTCCGTGACACCCACTCTTAAATGTCTCTGCTTTGCCTCTCATCTCCTTTGATTCAGAAAATCTTTGTGCCCTGAGGGTCTGAGAAATCTCTTCGGCTTAAGTTAAAACCTGAACCAAAGCCCGGGTTGGTTTGGCTCAGTGGTTAGAGCATTGCCCCGTGGACCAATGAGTCACGGGTTCGATTCCCGTCAAGGGCACGTACCTCAGTTGCAGTTCGTCCCTGGCCCGGTTGGGGTCACGTGGGAGGCAGCCACTCAATGTGTCCCTTTCACATTGATGTTTCTCTCTTTCTCTCTCTCCCTCCCACTCTATCTGAACAAAAATGGAAAAATGTCCTTGGGTGAGGATAATAAACAAACAAAACCTGAACCAATGACCTAGGATGAGGTCCAAGATCAAAGAGCCTACATCTCTGCCCTCCAGGTCCCAGTCCCTGAGGAACAAACAGTTGTATGGCCCCTGGAAGACGGGTGCCCCCAGCTCACCCTCAGGAACTGCAGGGAGGTTCTGCACTGGCCTGCGATCTCTGTCAGACCAGCTGCGAGCTCATTGTCTGAGCTCATTGCCAGAACTTGCCCTGTGCGCTCTGGCTTCTTTGCTCCCACCATTCCCTTTACCTGCAATTCCTTTTCTTCCTCTATCTGTCTAAACCCACTTCTTCTTCATTCAAGGTCTAGGTCAGATGCCAACTCCTACAGAACACCTCCTGCTTCCCAAGGCCATCACCTGATCTACCTTTAATTCTAGGCATTTCTGTGGTTCCCTGATCCCTGCTGGTGGGTGTGAGCACTTGCAGGTTACATAGCCTAGGGATTCTCTCTGGAGTTTGCCCAAAGTGCCTAGCATGTTGCCTTATCTGCAGGCCCTCAGCCCACAGGGGTTCAATTAAAATGAATTAACAGCCCACTGGTGCGGCTTACTCATTGAGCATCGACCCACGCACCAGGAGGTCGCTGGTTCACAGGGCACATGCCCAGGTTGTGGGCCCGATCCCCAGTGCGGAGCATGCAGGAGATGGCCAGTCGATGTTCTCTCTCATGGATGTTGCTGTCTCTCTCTCCCTCTCCCTTCCTCTCTCTCTCTAGAGGTTAATAAAGAAAAAAAAATTTTTTTTTAATGAATTAACAGCTTCCAGGGATCTTCCCCCTGCTCCCCAACTCTGGCTGGGACTGCCCTGCTGCACCATAGAAGAGTTCCCTCATTCCTTTCCAACCAAATCTCTGGAGAAACCTCCAAACCTTCTTTTCCCAAACAAGATGGAGTATAAAGAGTCCTCATGCACTTAACCCACTTTCCTTTTGTGCACCCTATTGAAGAAAGAGAGGTAACATTCACGTCACCTTGCTCCCCACTTCTCCAGCCCACACTCATCCCTCCTGCCAGCAGCCTGTAGCTTGTCCTGGCCTTGGGAGGGCCAGCATCCTGGGGGCCAGCTAAGGACTCCTTCAGGGAGCCCCCAGCTTTTAGAAGTTGTGTCAGAAGGGATTCCTGGTGGATGTGGACGTGGATGTGGGTGGGCTGGGACAGCGTAGAGGCCACCTCCAGCCCATTCACAGTCACCATGTTTTAGGTCATCCTGCCTGTTGGGGAGAAGATGTACAGAAAGCAGGTCTGGGAACTGGATGAGATAGCAAGTTGTGGGGTTGGAGGGTTGGAAGATGGACGTTTTGGAACCTTGTGTTAAGTACTCTCAACCTTGTGTTAATGCATTCTCGAAATCCTAGCCTGGGGGGAAACCTGGCCCGCCCAAGTATTGGGTGCTTCATTTGCATGTGAATAAGGGTTTGTTATCTTTTGGCTTCAAGGTCTCTTCCCATAAAAAGCAAGAGACAGCCCTGGCTGGTTTGGCTCAGCGGTTAGAGCATCCGCCTGCGGTCCGGAGAGACCCGTGATCGGTTCCCTAAGGGAACCTTGGTTGCAGTTTGTCCCCGGCCTTGGTTGGTCGTGTGGGTGGCAGCCACTCGATGTGTCCCTTTCACATCGATGGTTCCCTCTCTCTCTCTTCCTCTCTCTCCCTCCCACTTTGTCTGTGCAAAAAATGGAAAAATGTCCTCGGGTGAGGATAAAAAAAAAAAAAAAAAAGCAAGAGACAAAGCTAGGGTGTATGTTTGCAGTAATGCCACCTCAAGGAAAGAATTTACTTAAATCCACTTGTGACCTGGGGGTACCAATCTGCAAATAAATGGGACTGCATCCAGAGATCTGGAGCATTTGCTACCTTGCAAAGCTCCCCCTCACTCCAAGCGGTGTGTGCTTGTAGTTTTATTGCATTGCACCGATCCCAACAGGCCGAGAGATGGCAGCAAGTAACACATTGCACAAGGGAAAGGAGAGAAAACAGTCTCTTTGTCAAGATCCCAAGGGTCTTCCTAAGGAGGTATCAATGTCACAGTGACCTTGATCTGGGCTGCAAACCCAAATCACTTGTAGAGTTCTTCACCACATATATTCCTGGGCCTCTCCCCAAAATGGTCTAACACAGTTCATCTGGATCTTGGGTTGGACAATGAGAGGGATCTGTTATTTATTTTAGTGACTTAGTACATACAGCTGAGCCTTGAACAACCTGGGTTCGAACTGCGTGGGTCCACCTGTACGTGGGTATTTCTCAATGAACCCTGTACATTTATTCTCTCTTCCTTATGATTTTCTTGATAACATCTCCTTTTCTTTAGCTTACTTTATTGTAAGAATACAGCGTATGTAATAAATATAACTTACAAAATATGCATTAACCAACTGCTGATGTGATTGGTAAGGCTTCTGGTCAACAGCAGGCTCTTAATTAAGTTTTGTGGGAGTCAAAAATTATATGTGGATTTTCAGCTGTGCCAGGGGCTGGTGCCCTGAACCCCCACACTGTTCAAGAGTCAACTGTGTATTTACACATAATAGTTTCATATGGTTACATTTTTCAGAAGACATGAAAGGTATACCTCTCAACCTTCTCTCTCTCTTCTTTCCCAGTCACCTAGTTGCCTTCCAGATGGAAGCTAATATTATCATTTTTCTACAGTGACATTTTTGGCATATAAAAACATATAAAATATTCTTTCTCCCTGTTTTTCCCACAAACAGGAGGATACTACACACACTATTCTGCACGACAATTTGTTCACAGAACCATGCTTTTATTCTTTTTATTTTATTTTTTATTGTTATTCCTCCCCAGAGGACATTTTTGCATTTATCTTCAGATAGAGTGGGAGGGGGAGAGGGGGGAAGAGAGAGAGAAAAACATTGATGTGAGAGAGACACGTAAAGTGGTTGCCACCCACACGACCTCAACTGGGGCCGGGGACAAACTGCAACCAAGGTATGTGCCCTTAGCAGGAACTGAACCCAGGACTCTCTGCTCTGTGGGCCAATGCTCTAACCAGCTAGGGCCAGAACCATGCTTTAAAAATAATCCTCATCAGCCCTGGCCGGTTTGGTTCAGCGGTTAGAGCGTTGGCCTGCAGTCCAGAGAGACCCAGGTTCGGTTCCCTCTAAGGGCATGTACCTGGGTTGCAGTTTGTCCCCGGCCCTGGATGGGTGGTGCGGGTGGTGGCCAGTCGATGTGTCCTTTTCACATCGATGTTTCTCTCTCTCTCTCCCTCCCACTCTATCTGAACAAAATATGGACAAGTGTCCTTGGGTGAGGATAAAAATAAGAAATAAAATAATCCTCATCAGTCCATAAAAATGCTTCCTCACTCATTTGAATAGCTGTGTAGTACTCCGTTGTCAGAATGCATCATAATTGTGTTAAGCAGTCTCTGTGGATAGACAGAGAAAGACAAATGCCCTATTGGATTACGTATTGTGGAAACTAGAAAACAAAATAAACAAATAAACAAAAGAGTAGCAAACTCATAGATACAGAGAATATTCTGATGGTTGCCAGATGGGAAGGGGGCAGGGAAAATGAGTGGAAAACTGGAAGAGATTAAGATATGCAAATTGCCAGCCATATATATATATAAACAGTCATGGGGATATAAAGAGCATCACAGTGACCGTAGTCAATAATATTGTAATAACTATGCATGATGTCACACGGGTACTAGACCTGTTAGGGTGATCACTTTGTAAGTTATATAAATGTCTAATCGCTATGTTGTAAACCTGCAACTAATATAATATTACATGTCAACGGTAGTTGAAAAATAAAAATAAGTTTTAAAAATAAAAATAAAATAAAATACTCCTTGAGCAAAAACAAAATTGCCATAGGATTTCAGGTCTATTCTACTTAGTGGTGTGTCTGATGAGTCATGTGCCATGACCACAATTCTTATTATGACTATAGAGTTTAAGATTTCGCTGAGCTGTCTCCTGACCCCTCCTCGTGGTGTATATTTTCACAGCCAATGTTGCTCGGTTACTTCTCCATGTGCGTGTCAGCATCAGCTTGTCCAGTTCCAGAAGGATCCTCGGTGGGTGATTCCAGGGGACATCCCACAGAAGTATCACTGTTTCGATCGTAATATTCATAACTGTCCTAATCACAGCAGCAGTGACAGTGACCCTAAAGTCTTCCTGTTTGTATCCTACGTGCTTTGCGTGCATGCCCACTGTCACCTGCCTCCTCTAAGGTGTAGAGCTACAAGGAGATTCCTGCTCTGTCTCAGACACACAAGGAAGTCCAGCCCGGATCCCAACGTCTTCCCTCGGGGTCCAGGTGTCAGCATAATGTCACAGCCCTGAATGTGCCTTGGGCTCCAGCTCCCTCGGACCCCGCTGGGTACCTCACCAGACTCCAACCCCCAGATCAGCCCGGCCCCCTGCTCTTCCTCAGAACCAGGCCAGCCCACGAAGATTCCCCACCCACACCTCCCTGACTCCAGGCTGTGGGCTCTTCCCTGCGACCCCGTTACTCCTGAAGCTGTGGAGAGAGGGCCAGGATCCGCCCGGAGCTGGGGAGAGAGGGCCGGGATCCCCCCATAGCTGGGGAGAGAGGGCCGGGATCCCCCCCATAGCTGGGGAGAGAGGGCTGGGATCCCCCCAGAGCTGGGGAGAGAGGGCCAGGATCTACTTCAGAGCTGGGGAGAGAGGGCCAGGATCCCCCCAGGGCTGTAGAGAGAACCAGGATCCCCTCAGCACCCTGGGCTCCCCACCTTGTACTTCACTCTGGAGGAAGTGAACCGCCTGAGCCTCAGCCACCCCACCCAGAACGAAGGCAGGAGACACTGGTATGGGAGAGGGAGCACCAGGCTACCAGGCCAGCATGCCTCTCCCCCAGCACCTGCCCACCCCCACCTCCCCAGCCAATCCTCTGGAAACCAGGAATGGGCGGAGACTGGCGTCCTGTGCGACAGGATGCGGCTTCAGGGACTGATCTGGGGGACTCAGATAGAGAAGGATCCTGTAGTGAGCAGCCACATGGGCTGTGAGGGTCCTGCTCACCTGCTGTCCCCTGGGAGTCGGCACCCCACAGAGAAGGGTTGGGGGAGGCTGACCTGGAGCTGAGGGAGAATAGAATGAAGGGGGAGAGGAGGGAGGGTCTGACCTTTCCGGAAAACAGCTGGGCAGAGGGGCCCTTCTTGGGTGTTCTGTCTGGAGCAGAAATCAGAACTGGCTGCAGGAGGCGAGCATACGGGCACCCGTACCTACTCAGACAACACACACGGGGACCCAACTCAGCGCAGGCACAGCCTTCTTCAGAGAGCCCCTGCCCAGGGGTGGGGAGACACGGTCCCATAGACGTTCCCAGGGCTGCTCAGCTTCATGGTCCCCCAGGTCACCCACCAGGCTCCTGGTGATCCGCTGGTGGGGGGAACACCCTAGAGGGGCCCCTTTGTCCCAGCCAGCTGCTGAGAAAGCACATGACGAAGCCCAACCTTCCTGCCCATCAATCAGCTTCCCCTCCTTCTGCCTGGTCTCAGCAGCTCAGATCCTCTGGGACCCCTGCTCCTCTGGCCTCTGATCCCGGGGAGCGCAGGTGAGGCAGCCCCCGGCCCTGGCCCTGGCCCTGGCCCAGAGACCCGCTCACAGCGCCCCTCCATGGGGGAACCTCCATCCTTCCTGCCCCATCACAGGCCTCAGAACTTGCGGGGAGAGAGGGAGGGACCAACCACTGCATAGAGAATGTGACTCGGGGAAGGTGACAAGAGCAGATGCCAGGTGTGTCCTTGCTTGATGCCAAGCCGGCCTGGCCTGCCACCTCCACCTTCACCACAATGCAGCCCTTGTGGGGACAGGGAACTCCACCAGGCCGCCCAAGGCTGAGTGGCCCCTGGTAGAGAGGGAGGTGTTGAGCCGCAGAGGGGTGTCCAGGGGCCCAACTGCAGCAGCAGGAGCTCAACAGGCAGCGGGCCTGGGGTCCTGTCTGGCAGCCGGGGGGCCCTGGAGGAAAGCCTGGAGAACAGCCAGGGTGGGGCAGCCGGCAACAAGGGAGCAGAGGGTGGAAGGTGAGGGATGCAGGCACTGCTTGGTCCAGACCCTGCGGCCTGGGAGGAAGATGGGGGCCCAGAGCAGATCCAGGGGGAGGGGAGGTCTCAGGGGCTCAGCAAAGGTGGGCTTCCGGGTCACCACACCCCTCACCCCGGAGGGGCTGGGCTGCTGCTCTGTGACCAGGAGGCCTCTGTGACCAG